TTCGTGATCTCTTGTGTTTCCAGATGAACTTTCCTATCTTCTTTTCGGTTTCTAAGAATGCTGTTGGGATTTTGATTGATATTGCATGGAAGCTGTATATTGCTTTTGCTATTATGGACATTTTGATGATGCTGATCTCACAGATCCAGGAACATGGTAAGTTTTCCAACTTTTAGTGTCCTCCTCTATTTGTTTTAAAAATGCTTTTTAGTTTCATCACCGTGGTCTTCAACATCTTTGGTGAGATTTATTCCAAAGAATTCAAAATTCCCCTCTGCTATTTAAATAGGGGGTTGCAATTACAATTTCTTTCTCAGTTATGGAGTTATTTGTGTATAATAGCACTGTTGAATTGTCTTTATTGATTTTGGATCCTGTCATCTTGCAAAGGCTGTTTTGAGTTCCAACAGTCCCTTATTTAGACTTTTGGGAAAACTAGCACTGTGAGTGTGATGTCAACAGCCTGCACTTGGAAGCAGCAGCAAAGAAACACAGATGATCTTCTTGTGTCAAACTCCCAGGTACACTTTCTTTTTTCCATTCCCTCCTCCATCAATGTCAGCCAGTCCTCAGAGACTGGGACATCCTGGACCTGCTGGCTAATGAGGAGCTCTGGGCGCTGAGCCCTCAAGTGTCCTCCAAGGGTAAATAATGAGCCAGCACCTTCAGACCTTGGCTTTGACAATGGAGATATTAAAGCCCTGTGCTATGAACCACTGCATTTAAGGACCTGCATGAGAAGGACATGGCCTGAGTCTCCAATCCTGAGTAGAGAAATGTGAGGCGCCACTGCATGGTGGGAAGACAAGGAGCAGAAGAACCCTCACCCTGGAACATGCCTCAGCTGAGACTGAGCACAGCCTGGTAAGTGCGGAGGGAGACAGGAGCATTGTGGATTATCAAATTCATTGCTTTTCCATCACGGACACAAAAATGCTAGCTGTGACAGAGGGCAGAGAACCATTAGGCAGCATTTAGGCTCAGGATGTTGTGAAGTTTATGGTCGTGGATCTTACAGGTGAGAAACAGAAACTCATTCTTAGTTTTCTTCCCTCTCACATGGATTTTGTTTCCTAATGGGATTTCTTTCATGCTAGTAGGAATGGGATAAACATAAACTGTCCTTGCACACCCAGGAATGAATGAGAGACCTCACTCCCCAAAGGTCCAAAATGAGTGCAGATGGGTTGGTCCAAGGCCTGGAGCCAGCCATGGGTGTGTGTAGTGTCTCAAATGACCCTAAGCTTTAGGTAGAATTCTTTAGACTCTTGTGAATCTGTTTGAACTTGCAGAGTATGTGCTGTGCTGCAGTGGGTGAAGCGTGCCTCACTCTTGAATACCCAGTTCTAATCTCTACTCTCCACTGTGATCCAGTTCCTGTTACTGAGCACACTGAGAGGCACCCTGTATTGGTGCAGGTATAGAGTTCCTGCATCACATAGGGATCAGGCTGGAGTTCCTGGTTTCTGATTTCAGCTGGGCCAGGACCAAGAGCTGTGAGCATTTGGGAGATGAATCAAAGGACAGAGGTGGGCCATTCTCTCTGTTTGTCAAATGAAATGAAAAATGAATAAATTGAGTTAAAGCTTTCAAAAAATCATTTTCCCAAGGTCTCCAAGGTAAACAATGATATACAAATTCATAAACTATTCAAGCGAATTTATAGTATCTTCCAGAATGCTGGGTTTCTACTACTTCCTTGGTGCAATGGCAATGTGAGCTGATAAGATGAAGACTTCGATTTGTCTTTAGAAATCAAAATTAGGGCCTGGTATGGTAGGCTACTGGATAGTGTTCTCACCTTGCCAGTATCCCATACGGGCACCTATGCATGTCCCGGCAGCCCCGCCCCCAAACCAGCTCCCTGCCTGTGACCTAGGAAAACAGTCAAGGACAGCCCAAAGCCTTGGGACCCTGAACCAATGTGGGAGACCCAGAAGAAGCCCCTGCCTCCTGGCTTCAGATTGCCTCAGCTTCCCCTGTTGCAACCACATGGGGAGTGAATCATTGGACTGAGGATCTTCCTCCCAGGCTATTCTTCTCTCTGTATGTCTAACTTTCAAAATGTAAAGAAAATCTTTTTTTTAAAAAGTCAAACTTAGAGAACTTCAATCCATGAAACAGAACGGGGTGATGTGGAAACATTGTTAATCTACAATGGCCTTGAGCCTTCCCTACAATTACATGTAAAATTATAAGACCTAAAAAACTGTATTTCCAGGCCAGAGATGAAAGAGAAAAACCTTTTAAACATATTCAACAAAAATATATGTAATCTTATATATATGTAACATACATACATAAGATATATATGCATATATACATATGAATGTATATATAATATCTATATATATGAGATATATATAAGATCTAGATATATATCTTGTATATAAAATATATATCATAAATATAAAATATGTATATCTTAAAGATATATAAGATATATAAGATTAATATATATAAGGTTTAAATATATATACATGTTTTATTAATTACATTGCATTATGTGACACAGTTTTATACACTCTGGGAATCTCCCCATCCCTCCCCAAACCCTCCCACCATGGTGGATTCCTCCACCTTGTTGCTGTATTACATTTCAAATTCAGTCAAGATTCTTTCATTGCAAGCATATACCAAACATAGAGTCCAGTATCTTATTGTCCAGGTAAATTCAACGGTTTCATGGGGAGACCATCTCTGGTCTGAAGGCAGAGCTGGCAGAATATCATCCCAATCAATTTAAAGCCACAACATAACATCAGCATCAATTTACAACATTATGGAATTAATTTACATGGTATTGAGTAACCAATATGTTAAAAAAATGTTAGAAGTCCTGCGACTACTTCATTGACATTTCAATTTTAGTTTATACACAGAACTGGCTGCTATACACCTTAAAACAGCTATAGAGTACTATTCAGCTGTGTCATGTCTATTTTCATTTTAGCATTTAGCAGTTTATAGTGTTGAAGCATAATATAAGATTATAAAAATCATATGTATTATATATGATATTAATGATTATAAAATTCTTATATATTATATATTAAAAGATATATCAGATGTATAAGATTAATTTATCTTAAAGACATATAAATATACCTTATATGTCTTAAAAAAATATATATATATATATCCATCTTCTAGTTCATGTCCCAGATGGCTGTAGTGGGCAGAGCTGGGAGCTAATGGCCAGCCTAGGAACCAGGAGTATCTCCTGAGATACCCACATTGGTTGTGGGACATCAATCTATGTGGTATAGCTTTCTGTTTTCCCAGGCTTATTTGCATGACATTGCATTGGAAGTGGATCAGCTAAGAAAGCAAGAACTGGAACTGACATAGTCTGACAACATTTCAGGCAGTCACTTGATCATTGATGGCACAAAGCTGGCTCCAAATTGCAGGCATTTTTAAAGAGTTCAGCATTTCTAAACAGTTGACAGGTGTAGAGTAGACTAATGTTATACTCTTGACACATGAATTCATCTTTGGGCTCACTGAATTTATTTGATATCCACCAGATTGGGGTTCAATGATTTTGAGACAAACAGGAATAGCACACAGCACAGTGGTTAGGATGCAAGACTCCCAGCCCGGAGGTCCAGAGCTGGCTTCCTGGCTCTGCTCATGACTCAGCTTTCTGCCAACACAGGCTGTGGAGGCAGTGGTGACAACACATGTAGATGGTTGTCCCATGAGGACACCCATAAGGAAGACCTGGATGAAGTGTCAGATGCTACAGGCACTGCAGGCTTTTATGGAGTGAAATGGTGGATGGGGGCTCAGTCTCTCACTTTCTGCTTGCCTTGTGTCGGCATCTCAGTGAGAAAGAAATGTTGGAAGTAAATGAGAAAAATCCAAGAATGAGTAAATCATTATAGTAAAATGTTCCTATATATCTTGGGGTTTAATCCTGCCAGGATGCCCCAGGATTACCAAGGGTAAGGTGAAGGTGCATTTTGGCCTTAAGAACTACCAGACACAAGCTGTTGAGGAAAGTCTGCTTTATTATGTTAAGGAAGGGGAGGACAGAAGGGCATCTTTCAGCAGGCCCCCCACTCACCTGACACTGTAAGACACATCTGTTACCCTTGATCTTCTGGTCATGTCAGAGGTCATGTTCCACATGTGTCCCTATTGACCTGTAGTCATGTTGGAGGTCACACTCATGTATAGGCATAGAAGCTGTGTCTCAGGCCATGGGGAGGTCAGCCGTAAGACACACCACCAGGTAGCAGGCCGAGACCTAGGAATGATTCCCCACATATCTGTACAATCAAATGTAATTTACTACTTGAGCAATGCAGTGCTTGCTTACTTGAAGTGCAGAGTATTTGCAAATATTTTAACTCAGGGGAAGTCACTGTCACCGTAGAAAAAGAAAGGTGTGTTTGGGCTACTTCATTTTCTTGAATGAGTATGGCATTTTCCTTAAAGAAGAAGGGACATCTTTTTTGTCTTAGACTTGTTTCACGAATTTTAGGCTAAATAAGAGAAATTAGGGGGGTTTTCAAACATTTTGAATAGTATATCTACATAAAATTATGGAGTTTAAATCCTTTTTTTAAAGATTTATTTTTATTATTATTTTTTATTGGAAAGGCAGATATACAGAGAGAGGAGAGACAGAGAGGAAGATCTTCCGCCCAATGATTCACTCCCCAATTGAGCGCAATGGTCCGATGCTATGCCGATCCGAAGCCAGGAGCCTCTTCTGGGTCTCCCAAACGGGTGCAGGGTCCCAAAGCTTTGGGCTGTCCTTGATTGCCTTCCCGGGCCACAGGCAGGGAGCTGGAAGGGAAGCAGGGCTGCTGGGATAGAACCGGCGACCATATGCGATCCTGGGCGTGCAAGGCAAGGACTTTAACCTCTTGCGCCACCGCGCCTTGCCCATGGATTTTAAATCTTATGTGAATTACAAATATATGCAGCTGAGGTGACTTGGTTTTATTTTCACCAACACTACTTTCTTTTGCTGAAGGAGTGCAGATGATATAGAAACACAAAACCACACACGTGTCTCAGAATTCCATCTCATGAACTTCTCTGAGGATCCAGAACTGCAGCCCCTCCTCATGGGACTGTTCCTCTCCATGTACCTGCTCACAGTACTCGGGAACCTGCTCATCATCCTGGCTGTCACCTCAAACTCTCACCTGCACAAACCCATGTACTTCTTCCTCTGCAGCCTGTCCATGGCTGACGTGGGATTCACCTCCACCACGGTTCCTAAGATGAGTGTGGACATCCTCACACACAGCACAGTCATCTCCTATGATGGCTGCCTGACTCAGATGTTCATGTTCATTCTCTTTGGGTGCATGGATGATGTGCTCCTGTTGGTGATGGCCTATGACCGGTTTGTTGCCATCTGTCACCCCCTGCATTACCACATCATCATGAACCCTCGCCACTGTGGCTTCCTACTTTTGCTGTCATTTATGGCCAGCCTTTTGGATTCCCTGATGCAGAGTTTGGTGGTCCTGAGGGTTAGTTGCTTCAGCAGAGTGGAGATTCCTAATTTCTTCTGTGACCCATCTCAACTTCTCAACCTTAATTGCTCTGACAGCCTCAGCAGTGACATAATCATATATCTCATTGGAATCATGTATGGCTTCCTCCCTATGACAGGGATCTTCTTCTCTTACTCTAAAATTGTCTCCTCCATTCTGAGGGTCCCATCTCCAGGTGGCAGGTACAAAGCCTTCTCCACCTGTGGTTCTCACCTGACAGTGGTTTGCTTATTTTATGGAACAGGCATAGGTGTATTTCTCAGTTCAACTTTCTCACTTTCAGCTTTGAAGCGTGCTGTGGCCTCACTGGTGTACACTGTGTTCACCCCCATGCTGAACCCCTTTATCTACAGCTTGAGAAACCAGGACATGAAGAAAGCCATGAGGAGGCTCCTCAGTAGTGCATTTGTGGTCCCTGTGCCATGCTGCTGGACTGTAAGAGTGAAAGGAGAGCAAATGTAACAATGTAAACCTTCAAGTGTCACCTCTCTGTGATGTGATACTTTAGGCTTTTGTCTTCTTCAATCCGGTGTCTCAATATTGCTCTTTTCTGGGGAATGTTTACAGAGCTTTTATGCATGGGAAGTCTCACATCAAGTTCTACTTCACATACGAATCTTTCTGGAGTTTATTATTGATGATCCAAATATTCCGCACAGATGTCCAGCCAGCCACAATTTGGGAATTTTGGGAGATTCCATCTTCCATATATCATATGTTCTTTCCATACGGATTTTGGATGTATCCTGTTTGTGCTGGTTTTCAATGTGGACCCAGAGCAACTCTCTTTTTCTTGATCCACCTGTGATATTTACCCAATCACAGACCAGGTCCTGGGTGGCAGAGATTGAAGTGATGCAAAAATATGGGTGAGAATGCTTTTAAAAATATATATTTTTTTCTTGTTAGGCACTGTTAAAGAGTGAGATGGACTCTCAACAAAACTGTTAAATATATCATGACAATAGGATGCTGGAATTTCTGCCATTGTCTATACCTGAAAAGTCAGGAAATGTTAGCAGAATGATGGGCTTGTGACTGTTTTGAAGAAGTATGCTATTGTAATAATATAGGGGAATTGATTCTGGGGAAAGGATTTGGGGAAGTGGGAGGTGAAATACCCAAGAGTAGGGAACTGCTTGTTAAGTAAATAAACAAACAAATAAGTAAGTAAATAAAAAGAATGAAAGGGAGGGACACTTATACAGATATCTCCCATTCATTGGTTCACTCCACAAGTGGGATCCATGGCTAAGATGAAATCAGAGAACAGAAGCTTCACCTGGCTCTCCCATGTCAACAGAGGGCTTCAGCACCTGGGCCAAATTTCACTGCTTTTCCTGGCATGTTATCTACGAGCTCAGTCAGCACTTGAACTTCCATCTGTTGAGCACTCCAGTGTCATAAGCAGTGGTTTTATCCTCTGTTCCATGACCCCAGTACCAAAGCCAGAATTTTTAAGACACCCTTGGTATATGTTGAAAACTCTAATGATTTTTTTTAATGAGTTCCGTTGTATGTGACATCCATTCTTCCCTCACTGCCTTCAGAATTCTCCCCTTCTCTATGGCTTTAGACAGTTTATCATTTGATTTGGTGTTAGTCTATTCATCAGAATTATTTTCATGTAGTTCGCTGATCTCCTTGAATATGTATATTAACTACCACCTTGCAACTGGGGAAGTTTAAAGTTCCATTCACTGTGAAAATAGCCTTCCAACATGTTTTCTCTCTTCTTACTGTGGGACTTCTGTAAGAACAATATATTTTACAGAAGTGTATGTTTTGTTTTCATTCTCTTTGTATCTTTTACTTGATAACTTCAAATTAGAAAAAAAAATCCTGAGCACAGAAAATTGATTACAGGAGTTCGGGAAGCATGGAAGTTATAAAAGTTGGATATACTCATTTATGACACATACATTAATTTAAACATGATAGAGAAAATTGGGTGAGTGGGTAAAAGAATCATTATATCCACATATTTTGTGTAAAGAAATTTTAAATGTTTCTGAATTAAAATGTTAAAAATGAAATAGAACTGTTAGAAAATCAATGTTTTGAAAGTCAAAAAGGTAACTACTGCACTGGATAGAATTTTCTGTTGAATAGTGATTAGTCCAACTTTGTTACTGTGTGTCTCAACTCCAATATTTGTTTATCTTCTTTTTTAAGTATTTTAGCTCAATTCTCATGATGTGTGTGCATTTTACCTGACTGCATATAGATTATCTATCCATGATATGTATCATCTTATGGACCATCTTTAGGATGATTAGTCTGAGATATCTCCACCTTTCAAGTAATGAGTTAGTGGGCTGATGAGGGAGCAGAACAAGCTGATCATCCAATTCTGACAGCAGCATCATATGTGGGCCTCAGTGTGTGTCCTGGGTTTTCCAGTTCAGATCTGGCTCCCTGTTTGTATCCTGGGAAAGCTGTGGAGGAATGTTGAAATGCTTCAGCCCCAGTACTGATGTGGGAGACCTAGAAGAAGCTCCTGGTTCCTGACTTTGACTCAGATCATCTCTGTTGAAATAATTTTGAGAGTGAAATAGCAGAAGGAGGTCATGTCTGTCTCCTTTCTCTGTAAAGATCTGCCTTTCAAATAAATTAAAATTTAGAAAAATAATCGTTTGGTAATTTTTTCCTGAAGATAGAATATATTGCTTTGAGTTGGGCCATCTTTTCCAGTTTCTATGCATTCTTTGTTGCTGCTCAGTTTTGAACACTTGGGAGAAAGTTTACCAATTTTTTTTTTTTTTCTGGATTGGCTTTATAGAGGGAAAGCCCTGAACTGGCAGACTTGCTAAAGATTGTAGGATTTTTAACCTTTTCAGGGGAGGCATCTTCTGAGGGTGTGTTTGTGTGTGTGACAGAGAGAGAGAAAAGAGAGAGACTTTACAGTGAAGACGTATGTCCTTGCTCTCAACAGCTCACTATTTATGTCCCTGGTGTCTCTTTCTGCTTCTACAGTTCCTCTGGGACTGTAACTAGGGGCCTGATTATTTGCATTGTGTTTTCTTTTTTACTGATTTAAAAACAATTCCAATAACTTATTTATATATTTTTAAATGATCTTATTTGATTAGGGTACAAAGGGTCAAAGGCAACTGGAAATTGGGTAATACCATGGTTTCCACACTAATATCATGTTTTCCCTGTACCCGGGGTCAGGGGAGAAATAAAGGGAAAAGCTCCACCAAACCTCCCTCCCATTCCAGATCCCTGATGTGAGGCACACTCCGAGGGTCCTGCTCAAGCAGTTTTGATAGTTCAACAGAGCTGAATTGCTGCCAATCTCCCCGTTCCAATCACGATGAAACCTATTCAAAATTCACTGGCTGACAGTATCTTCATGGTTGGGGTTCTGAGGTCAGCAGTTCAGTTGGAGGGATCTCCAAAGAAACTTCATCTGAGATGATCCCAAACCTGATTCTTGTGTGAATTTGCCAGGACAGGGTTGGGTACAGTCCTTTGCCCCAGTCAGCTTATGCACATGTTGGTCGATGCAATTGCTGGGTCAGTTCTGTTTCCAACCCTGCCATCCACTTGAACCAATGGGTGTTGTAGTCAAGCTCGATCCTACCCACGTCAAACTCGGTTTGCACGCAAACCAATTGAGAGCTGCAGCCTAGTTGGGGCAACTCCCAATAGCCCCAACCAGGCCTGCTCCCTCCCCTGGTTCCCATGCATGCCAGTATGTACTGCAGGCTTGTTCACTCTGTCCCACATCCCATTTAGCTCTCGTAAATGTCAATGGATATTGAAGACTAGTTCAACTCAACCAACCTACTATCCAGCCCACACACATACTGGCAGGTACCTTTCTGCCTAGCTACCTCTGCCCTTGTCCTGGTTTTTGTGCTGTCCAGTGGGAATGGTTACCCAAGAGGGAGATGCCCACTACTCCCTACTAGGCAACTCCAACTTGATTGTGCACTCTCCAGGTTGTTCTGGCATTTAACATAACAAAATTTGTCCCTGGTGCCAGCCTCTGCCATCTGATGATGTGGCAAAACCCAACCAACCCTCACCCACTCTAATTTTTGCTTGCACCAGTCAGAACAGTCACCCTAATCTGGCCCTTCCCCAATCTAGCTCATAGGAGGCCAGCAGGTGTTTTAGCCCTGCTTGGTCTGGTCTGCCCCCATCCCAACGCATGCTCTTCAGTGGGAGTGGTTTTCCAGCAGGGGAGCCCACATTAACCTGCCGGCTTTGCTTCCCCCCAACCCTCCGGTTCTCAAGCGTGCTGTTTTGGTGCTACAACCACATCTGCTTTGGCTCACCTCACCTTGGCATTCCTTAATGTGCACTGGTATGTGTTGCGACTGAAACTGGCCTGACCAACGCTATATGCTGGTGCTTGGATTTGCCAGCGTTTGATGTGAACTGGTTCAGCCTGGTCTGCCCCCCACCTCTGCCATATGTATGATGGTGGATATCTTCCCCTTGCCTGATCCAGGTTGTTCCATATCATGGTTCTTGTGCTCACCTGCAGGGGCTGTGTTCCTCCTTCAGAACCTCTCCCTATGCCAGGTTTTGTGTGTAGCGGTGGTTCCACATGCCAGCCCTCATTGCTGGTCTTCAATCCATTCCAGTTCTTGGTGTTGGATGTTTCACCCCAGCCAAGGCTTGTCCATACCCAGACACTGCTCACACATGGCTCAGTAGTGTCAGAGACCCAGCCTAGTCCATCTTATATCTATCCAGGTTCTGTAAGAACTAGTCCATGAGCCAAGGACTTTGCCTTTCAGCAGTGGCATTGGCCTTAGTTCCCAGCATTGGGTCTGGCCTTGTAGAGGCACCACCACCCCACAGTCACCACACTGTGGGGAGTGGCAAGCTGCCCCAATCCCAATGCCCCAAGGCCCGGACCCCTCCCTGTCTTGTCCTGTCACAAGATTTTGGCAGCAGGGTAGAGCTAGGATTTTCATCCAGTTCACAAGGTTCCCTCATGGCATACTTACCCTGAGAGAAGATTCCTCTTGGGCCTGGAAAAAGCCAAATCACTGCTTTTTGGTAGTGGCTTTGGCCTGAATCCCCATTCTTGGATCTAGCCCAGCAGGGGCTCCCCCCTCAGCCACCACACTGTGGAGAACCACAAACTGCCCCCAACCCCAAGGCCCAGACCCCGTAATGTGCTTTCTGATCTGGTATGCATAGAGCATGCCTTTATCATTAGTATTCCCAGTCCTCAAGCTATTAACCAGCTGTTCAGGCAGCCCATGGGAATATAGAACTTTCCACCTTCCAGTCCCTTCCACTGAGAAATGCTAGGAGAAGTTGAGGGTTTATTCTTCCCACTGCAATGGCATATCTGAGATAGGGCAGTCTTTGGCCAGCCAGTAAATAGATGCTATCATCTAATTTGATTCAGTTCTTGTTTAGCTTTGGGCTCACACAAAGGAACATCTTCTCTGACCTGTGTGGTTTATGGGACGACAGGATCCATGTATGCT